AAGAACAATTGAAGTGGAAATATGACCACCTTAAAATGGCAAGATCAAAATTAGTCACCATTATACACTTTCATATTACTACATTTTCAATGTCATAAATGATGATTTCCAAATTGAAAACAACTTTTCCAGATCAACAATTCACAAGGCAACTTGTTTTGGGTGAAAAGACAAAGAAAAAACCCATAATTTCTTTGAGTTTATCAAATGTTGAATGGGGCTGTTGTTTTTTGCTTTGCAAATATCACATTGAAGTGAGACCCACAAAAGATGAACCAATGAAATCAAAAAATAAAAATATTCCAAAGGGGAAAGGAAACAAAAATGGACACTAAATTAAAAAACGGTGACACCCCTAAGATCTGAAATTAAGGCCAAAAAGTGATTAATTTCATTGAATTAAAATGACCATATTTTAATCTCCACTTGTTTAATGTTTTCTTATGAAATTTCAATGGGGGGAAAAGTGAGTGCGACTGTTTGCTTTATTCATTTATGTCAAAATTGGGGATCACCACTGATCTCTTTTAATATTTAAAAGTTTTATTATGAAACGGTAATATGAATGAAGGTAAATTTATAATTATCACATACCTAAGTATTCCTCGAACCAAACTTATGGTGGTTAAAACATAAAATAGTGTTAAGATGCTTAATAGTTTCAAAATTTTAATAAAATGGTAATATGAATGAAGGTAAATGTATATAGCTAACATGAGTATAACTCAACCGATTAAGACATTTATTTACGATAAAAAAGTAGTGACTTCAAATCCTCACTTTAAAAAAATGTAAATGCATGGGAGTTTTCGTTTTATTATTTTTAATTTTTAAATCATGTTTAATTGTAATTATAACACAGTAGCTTTTTGTATTCCTGCACTGTCAAAATGAGTCTAATGAAAAAGGAATTTGGAAAGTTAGAAAAGGAACAGATTCAGAACAAAAGATGTTGCTCGCAAAGAAAAAATCTTGATGGTTCATTGATGGAGAAATACAGAGTATCATAAATCTCTAATGTATAAAATTCAGTCGGTAGAGAGAGAGAGAGAGAGATGCAGCTGCCTTGTTCTTATTCAATATGTCAAAAATGAGGAACCAAGTGTGTGTCTCCACTCCATTTCTAATCTCAGTTGAGGACGAACTTACACCCTTCAAAACCTGCCACAATCAAGCCACTCTCATGCTTCTATTGCTAGAAGAAAGTCTACATGTTTTTATGAAAATGACCAATAAGGAAACCCCTTTGAGAGTGACAAATTCTCCCAGTAAAAAAAGAGAGAGAACAAGAGCTGTTTGGTCTTTAATTTACTGGCATGATCTATTTTATGAGTTGTAGTGATCAATCTAAGTTTTTGGATAAGAGGGAGCACCAATAATGATGAATTAATAAAGGCAGTATGCTAAACTTTAATTAAAAGACATAAACAATAACACAAGTTCTAAAAAGTATAGAAATCGTACCTTAGTTCTTAATTTAATTCTATTGGTTTTAAAAGTTCAAATTTGATTTGTATAGTTCAATCTAATCTCTTTAAACAACTCTAGGTTGGCTAAATATAAAATCCTAGGTACGTGGCCACCACGGTTTGAACCCATTCCCCTCTAAGCCCTTTGTTATTTACCATGGCCCTTGTTGACCCCATGATAGTTAACACATTTTTAGTTATTGTGAAAGACATTTTAAAAACTATATTTCAGATCCAGAACAAATCATAAAAATTAAGTTATAATTTAACCCTTTTTAGTTATTGTGTGCAAGAAAAGCTTACGTTGGTGTCTTGAGTTAGTTCTATTTTGAAGAAAGAAAACAAGTAAGGAATTGGAAAACAGGTGGCGAGTGGCGAACTTACTTGGATCCACTGTTACAAGCATGGCAGTCCCTCCAAAGTCGCAGGTACCACCAGTCACCTTGGTGTTCTGCCAGTAGCTGTTGAAAGCATAGGAGGCGTGTGACAGAATAGTGTCAGGCTCAAAGCAATGCCCATTTGGCTGAATGGACTTACAGTCCGCTCCTGACCCACAGGCATAATCCATCGCGTCTTGAATTATTGGGTCAGGCACAGTGGGCTTCGCCACGCACCATGCTGCGCCAGACGACCTTGGTGGCTTCCCCGCATGTGCTGGAGGTGGACCAGACGGCGGAGGAAG